TCGGGAGAGTGTGGCGCTGGGAGTGCAGCAGCGCTCCCGCTGCGGGTTCGGATCCTATATAGAGGTGGCCGGTGCACTCACTGGCTGAGCGCGGTGCGGCCGGTCTCAAAAAGGACACACACACACACACACACACACACACACACACACACACACAAAAAGACTATTCTGTTACTACAGCCATTATAACTTTTTCTATTAAAAATAATTTGGGGCTCATAAAGGGACAGTGACCCAAACAGATCCCAGATGGATAAAGACACTTTGTTTTTTCTCCATATCACAAGGCAGAGACGAGCTGGGACCCAGTCCCCAGGCCCCCTCCCTTCACCCCGAGTCCTTAGGGCAGAGCTGGCTGCAGACTCTGCAACTGACACCCCCTGTCCCCAGTTTTCCAGCTGCGGCCGGCCTGCCAGCAAGTGTACAACCTGTTCCACCCCGCGGACCCATCGGCCTCCCGCCTGGAGCCACTGCTGGAGCGGCGCTTCCATGCCCTGCCGCCCTTCAGCATCCCCCGCTACCAGCGCTACCCGCTGGGGGATGGCTGCTCCGCGCTGCTGGGTGAGAGGCGCTGATCCCCCGGGGGACATGGGAGTTGATGCCACTCCTCTATTGTCCAGGCCAGAGGTGGCCCATGCCGTGGTTCTGCCCTGAGGGGGAGGGACAGCCTGCACTAAGCACCTCTCAGAAAGGACACCTGCCACAGGTGCCGGAGCATCCACCCTCACTGCTCCCTGCGAGTCCTGAGTGACTGTTCCCACCTTTCAGAGGGCACAGGTCAGGGCCTCATCCCGGGCTGTTGGGGGACAGAAAAGGACTTGACTCCCCTCCCCACTACCCCGGCCTCCACCCCAGCAGAGACAGAGCTAAGGACCCAGGAGGGGCCCTCGCTGAGTCAGGGACATTTTTCAGCTGGGCCCCATCGTGGCAGGCAGCACAGGGTGGGCGGGTCAGGGCTGGGAGCCAGGTGAGGGCTGCCCCATAGTCTACTCATGACCTCCCCTCCCCATGTATGTCCCACATCTTGTCCTCGAGAAGTCTCTGTGTCACAGCGTGTCCAGACGGCCCATGCGAGTGTCTGTTCTTGTCCTCTCTGTTCTCTCCCCGTCTGCCTCCAGTCGAGACTGTGCAGAGAAACCCCGAGCTGCTCCTGGAGGGCGGGCCCCTGGCCCCTCTTCCCCACGGGGACGGCTTCCTGGAAACCAGTATCCCCGTTCCCGCGCTCACCGGGCAAGATGGGCCCCGCCAGAGCCCGGGCTGTGCTGAGTGTGTGTAACCCCCCTTGCTCGTGGTGACATCTGCTTCACTGGCTGATCCCCAGTCCTCAGGGACCCCCACCCTCATTCCCTCCTTGGCCACTTGGAGTTGGTGGGAACTTTGTGACAAGAAGGCCCTGGGAAGCGGGCCTTGGTGCCTCCTCCCTGCACACTGTGGGTCAGAGGCAGAGAGGACCCAATGCAAAGGTGGGCACAGTGGCCCAGAGATGGGCAGAAGCTGCCCTAGGGTCACCCAGCACATCAGTGACAGTCCCAGGGCTCTGCCCCTCCTTCATGAGGCTGGCAGGAGCAGACAGGCCCCACCCCTCACCGAGGAGGAATGGCGAGGCTGGACTTTGTGGGTCATGCTCCTTCCTGCCCAAGGATGTCCAGGCCCTGCCCGCATTCCGTCCAGACGAGGCTTCTCTAGCAGAGCCCCGTCCTCCTGCTCTGTCCAGTCCTTAGCCAGACCCAGGTGAGCCTGGCTTGAGCCTTCAGCACCTGCCCTTGTCTACAGATGCCCATCCAGGGCCAGCTTCGTGTGCCTGGCTATGAGGGATGCCCGGGGGTTGCCTCTTTCTGGGTCCTGGGTGTACGTAAGGCATCCCAGGGAAGCCACCCTGTTGTCAGCACCCCTCAAACCCAGGGGAGAGCCACTACTGCTGCCCACTGTGGGCTGTGGACCAGGTGGGGCCGGGCTGAGCCCCAGAGGCCCCGGAGGCCCTGGTGCAGGAGGGGCTGTCAGAGATAGCCAGGAAGCACTGAGTGAGCAAGAAGGTGGCCAGGGAGGTAGGGGCATGAGCCCAGCCATTTTGCCTCCCTGCCCTGTGTCTGTGTCTGTCCATCTGTCCATCCCTGCCCTAGCCCTACTTTTCCCCACCTCAGCTCTGGGCCCTGCTCTCATGGCCCTGAGCCGGCAGTCCCCGACATGGCCACCACCCTGGCCCTCCCAGCCTCAGTGCACACTGGCCCACTGCCCCCCACTGCTCAGGGTCTGGCCTGGGCATTGCCTCTCTTACCCGGTCTCTGGTCCCTGTCCACCTGCAGCAGATGCACTCCAGACCCACACCGTGGTCTTCCAAGAGCATGCAGCCCCCTCCTCGCCCGACACGGCCCCCACTAGCCGTGGCTTCCGCCGAGCCAGTGAGATCAGCATCGCCAGCCAGGTGTCAGGCATGGCCGAGAGCTACACGGCATCCAGCATTGCCCAGAGTGAGTGCACGGCCCGCCTCCCTGTGCCCTCCTCTCCGGAGCCAGCTGGCTGTGTCTGGAGACACTTCTGGTTGCCACGGCTGGGGAGGGGGCTCTAGTGACGTCTAGCGGGTGGAGGCCAGGGACCTGCTGAACATTCTATGAGGCCTGGGACAGCCCACAGCAGAGTGGGCCACTCCAAACAGACAGCAGTGCCTGGCTGAAAAGCACTGTCCCCTCAGGAGGACTCTGGAGAGAGGGGCCTTCAGACGGCCCCATGGCCTCCCTCGCAGTGGGAAGCAGAGGCCAGGGTCACCCCCTCTCCATCCCCCTGTGCTGGGGACAGGATTCTCTCTGGCCACAGTCAGAGCAGCCCGGCCAGGGCTGAGGCTGATGTAGGCGCTCCCAGCAGCTGTGTCCTTCTGTGAGGAGGGCCCTGGACCGCCCCTGGCCTCGCTGTCTTCTCAGTGTCCTTCCTGGCCCATGGTGGACATGGCAGTGTGGTGGCCACAGCATGGCTGAGCTGTTCCTGTTGTTCTTGCTCCTCAGAAGCCCCCAAGTCGCTCAGCCACACCCCCAGCATCAGGCGCCTGTCCCTGCTCGCCCTGCCCCCCCCAACCCTCACAAGCCCCGGCCCCCGCCCTTGGGTCAGG